ACTACTAGCAGCAATAAGAGACAGACCCCTCTGGTGGAAGCTGCCTTCTCTATGAAACTCCTGCTGGTTGGCTCTCCAGCTTGAGAAACAGGGACTGTTGCCAGCAGTTTTCACCCATCTACTAAAATCTAAAAGGTAACAAACACCATTTCTGGAGCTACTGAAGAGACAGACTGCTTAAAGGGAGATTTACATGGCTCTGCAGACTTCCTGGCTCTGCCAGCACTGGGGGAATTTGGTGTACAGAGTGTGAAATGATTTTTTTTTCTTGGCTCTTTGCTGTAGGTCCAGGCAGCTACAGCAACAGCAACAGCAGTGGTTCTCACCCTCATGCAAAGCTTCCAGAATGCCTGGGAGTCTCCTGCTGATAACAATATGGAATGCCTGGAACTAGTCAAAGAGGTTGGAAGCCCCACCACCTACAGCAGCCAAGACTTAAAGCAGAGCGGTTACCCCAGAACCTCTGGGCTCAGGGTAGCTTCAGAACTTAAAGGCAAGGGGTGCCTGGGCGGCTCCGTTGGTTGGGCATCCGACTCTTGATCTCAGTTCAGGTCTTGATCTCGGGGTTGTGAGTTCAGGCCCCATGTTGGGCTCTGCACTGGGTGTGAAGAATACTTTAAAAAAAAAAGAGAGAGAATCTAAAGGTAAGGAATGGATGCTTCAGTGTGTAAACATGCCACACAATAGCCATGCACAGCAGATCATACGAAAAAAAAAGTAGTGTGGACAAATTCCTGTCCTCTCCTGCAGGTGCGGCATTTACATATCTTCGGGTATAAAGAAAAGGCAGAGCACCCTGGGAGAGGAGAATTTTTCCAGCATTACTGGGAAGGCACAAGAACTGAAGCCTTTGGCTTTTGGGGCCTACCATTCCCACTTCCCTTCTACAGGATAAAAAGAATCTCAGGGGCACCTGGGTGGCTCAGTTAGTTAGGTGTCCAAGTCTTGATTTCGGCTCAGGTCATGATCTCATAGCCTGTGAGTTGGAGACCCACGGCTGGGCTCCACATTGACAGCATGGAGCCTGCTTGGGATTCTCTCTCTCCCTCTCTCTGCCCCTCCCCTGCTCATGCTCTCTCTCTCTCTCTCTCAAAATAAATAAATAAAACTTAAAAAAAAAAAAGACATCCTTAAAAAAAAAAGTATCTCAGAAGATCCAGAGCTTCTAGTGCCTAGACAGGACACTGGACAGAGTCCATGATACCCACAGCCTCTCTCTCCCTGAAAAGATACCTCGATGATGCTGGGAAAGAGGAGTCGGGCTGATCGGGAAGTCAAAATACAGTTATTAATTCTCTTCACCAAAGGCCACCCAGGGGACTACTATCAAGTCCACTCACTCAAGATATCATGATTTCTCACCACATCCCATGTCTCCCCAACATTCACACATTAAAATGAAGCTCCCACCAGTGTTTAGGGGTTAACTGAGTAGGAAGACTTGGCCCCTTTATGACTCCAGATTCTTGCAAGACGTTTGTTTTCTGAATATTCCCCTCTGTGTACTCCCTTCTTGTCTTAATTGGCCCTACCCACTGAGGTAGATTCCACATCTTTCTCCTGTATCTTTCAGTTGGCTAAGCCTCTGACCTCTCCACTGCAGAGTCTAAAAGCAGGGAGATGGCCAAAATAGGCAGTCAGGGAAGAGCACAGGCATTCCTATCGCATCTGCTCAGTCTCTCAGCAGTCCTCATGTCAGGGAACCTCTCAAGTTTACAGGCTGGGGCCATAGAGGGTCTCCCCTTCCTCACTCACTGTGTAACACATGGAGCAAGGTCTCTCAGAGACTGTTTGCGGAGTGCTGAGAGAGATGCTGTTGTTGAATGTGGGTGTTTTCCAGCAGCCCTGTTCTGGATGTAATTCCTCAGAGCTGCTCCCTGGGTCTGTGTGAGCTAGGTTCTGGATAATTCCCAGCACGACTCCTTACCCTTTTTCTTGTTGTCACCAGCTGTCAGGGGAATTGCTGTTCATGATTGACACAGGTAACTCCTATTATAATTGTTGTTATTTTCCTGTTTCTTTTCAAAAATATATTTACTTATTTATATATATATATATATTGATATATATATATATATTTTGAGAGAGAGAGAGAGAGCAGGAGAGAGGCAGAGAGAAATAGAGAATCAAAAGTAGCTGTCAGCACAGAGCCCCATGCAGGGACCAATCCCACAAACCGTGAGATCATGATCCAGGCTGAAATCAAGAGCTGGGCACCTAACTGACTGAGCCACCCATTATTTTTAATACTTAGAAGGCTGGAACACAAAGTTGAAAGACTTCCACAAAACTAGGAAACAGGTTGCCACTTTAGCAAGGCTTGCTCAACTGATTGATTCAAAAACATCTATTGAGCACTGGCACATGCAATGTACAACCTGATGATGTGGAGGGGAAACAGAGGAAAACAGATCCCTCCTTAAAAAGGCTACATTGTAATGGAGACATAGATGCACACAGAAATCACTGTCATACAAGGTAAGCATGTAAGGATAGGTCACAGTTATAACCTGGAAAAGTTAAAGGTGAGTCTGCGAGGCCACTAAGCCTAGGCCTGTTGATCAGCTGGGGTAGTCTGATTGTTTTTGCCTCAGAAGCCAATGCCAAGCCAAGGTCAATGCTAATGCCAACATGTTATGCACCATAAAGTAAATATTTTGTAATGCTCTATGTGCATGTAACAGTAGCTCAGTGTAACACTTTCCTTTAAATGGATCTCTTTTAGGGGTACCTGGGTGGCTCAGTTGGTTAAGCATCCCACTTTGGCTTAGGTCATGGTCTCACAATTCATGGGTCCGAGCCCCACATCGGGCTCTGTGCTGATAGCTCAGAGCCTGGAGCCTGCTTCAGATTCTGTCTGTCTGTCTGTCTCACCCTCTCTGCCCCTCCCCCCTCACACTCTGTCTCTCAAAAATGAATAAATGTTAAAAAAAATTAGAATAAAATAAAAAATAAATGGATCTCTTTTAGGGGAGCCTGGGTGGCTCAGTCAGTTAAGCATCCCACTTTTGACTCAGGCTCAGGTCATAATCTCACAGTTTGTGGGTTTGAGCCCTGCATCGGGCTCTGCGCTGGCAGTGTGGAGCCTGCTTGGATTTCTCTCTCTCCCTCTCCTTCTGCCCCTTCCCACTCATGTGCTTTGTCTCTCTCCTCAAAATAGGTAAACTTAAAAAAATAAATAAATGAATCTTTTAAGTTAATGAAGTAGGTTGACTGCCATTTACTTCCTTTTCATAGCAAGAAAAATAGAAGTTGCACTTCCTTTCCCTGTTCCTCAGGGCAACTAATAAGAGAACAAACATCGTTCCGTACCAGGAATAAAGTTGACTCATACTCTTAGGCTTTCTCTCCTTTTAGAACACATTGATTGAAGACTTGGAATGGGATAACATTCATTCGCGTAGAGAAACAGATGAAGTCGCCAAAGAAGAGAGGGTAGGGAGGGAACAGGGAAAATGAGATGAAGGAATAGGGAAAGGGGCTATTACACTACTTTTGATAAAGTCTCTTCATCTGAGAAGAAAAGATTGTTCCAGGAAGATCATATTCTAGGCAGAAGGATGAGGATGAGTAGAAATCCTATATATTCTGGCCCACCATCCTAGAAGAGAGTCAGTCTTGTGGCAACAGGAATAAATAGGTCTTTGTGGCCTGCTACCAGTCCAACATCCCCAGGTCTACAAAACTTAAAAACAAGCCAATGAGAGTACGGGCAACTGGTTGGCTCAGTCAGTACAGCATGTGACTCTTGACCTCAGGGTTGTGAGTTCAAGCCCCAAGTTGGGTGAAGAATTTGCTTAGAAAAAAATATATATACTCTAATATATAGAGTATAGAATTAGTAGTAGAGAGGAGGTGAACTTTTCCCAAGGCAGGAATCTCAATGGGTGCCACTGAGTGACCTCAGGTCAAGAGGTAAGAACCTAAGACCCAGGAGGTGACCCACAATACACAAAAGATTTATAGGGGAAAAGGACACCATATTTTTTCCATTAGTATACTTCAAAATAGTGACACAAAAGAAAGGACATGAGAGGCTCCTACACTGGGCTCTTGGCTTTCTAGATAGAAGGGGGTAGAAATGATGCCTCATCTTCCTGTGAATTCTTAGTCATTTTTTTTTTTTTTTGCACCATTGCCTTTGCTAACCCTTTTACGACTGATGACTGTTAAGTAAGTCTTTACCTGGTATTTAAATATTCATATGTTTGTTTTCATATACACCATAAACTACTTGAGGGCAGTGATCATATCTCTATACCTTCAATGACAACTAGCCAGTGCCTGTTCTCAGTAGGTCATTAAAAAATGTTGATTTGATGTTATAGGAGAATTAGGGTCAACAGCTGCAAGGGCTGGCAATCCATAGGTTTCTGGCCAAGAATTTCCATGAGGCAAGGCAACATTTGGCAATTACAAGGGCATTCCAGTGAAGTGAAGAGGAGTGTCGGATTTTGCAATAGTTCTGCAAATAAGATAGATTTTCTGGAGTGGCTGGGTTCGTGGAAAAACATGTGCTGAATGGCAAAAAGGAATCTGGGTTTTCACCTTTACAGTAATCATTGTAGCAAGATATAATCTCTGCTAGATTCAAATAGAAAGGAGTGACATTAATAAGTTTTCTTAGCACTACACAGCATTATGCCATACATGCAGAATATTTTTTTTCATTGTTACTATTGACCTCAAGCTTAAAATCTCAATGGGAATTCAGAGGCATCTCAGTGGCTCAGTTGGTTAAGCGTCCGACTCTTCGTTTTGGCTCAGGTCATAATCTCACAGTTTCATGAGTTTGAGCCACACACTGGGCTCTGTGAGCCTGCTTGGGATTCTCTGTCTCTCTCTGTCTCTCCCCCTCCCCGACTTGGGCTGTCTCTGTCTCTCTCAAAATAAATAAACTTTGAAGAAAAATCTTAGTGGGAATTCAATGTGTACATACACAAACTAGTTAGAGAACAAGGCAATGAGTGTTACATTGAGTTACAAATTAAACATTATACCATTGCTCTTGGAGATGGATCTTGGGAGTCCCCTAATTTTTGTAGGTCTTTGTTCTTTTGAGCCTTCACAAAGTTCTCTATCCTGTGGACATTTGAAACATAAGACATTTTATTGCTTTAACTCCCCCCCCATCCACCTTATCCCCACCTATTAGTATTTCAAGACACCATTTCATATATAGCTGATGTAATAGCATGCTTAGTTCTTAAACTCCTATCTCTCTAGCCTTTGAGCTTGAATCTGTAACCCTAACTTATAGATTAAGCTTTACTCCAACCCAAGGACCCCAATTCTTCCTGGTAGAAGGACATGAGGAGAATGGGTCATTAGTTCAAAGAGTCAATCTCAAAGACTTTGGGGCTTTGGGGCGGTTCCTGCCTTATATTTCTATTCCCCAGTACTTCTCCTGCTGGTAACTTCTCCTTCCCAAAATAGAATTGCAGCCCCCATTGAGGCCTCTGGTTTCTATGGTCAGGTTTTTTGGATATCAACTTTCTGTGTGCCTGAATCTGTGTAAATTGCTTAATGCCCTTTTAGATCCACACCCTGGATCTCACATTCATTTAGGACATTTTACCATAGATTAAAAACTTTCTGCATGGTCCCCAGGGGCTAGTTTTGGTGCCAGAGTCACAGAGAAGGTGGTACACTGGTCGCCCAAGGTTCTCTTATTTCAAATGTTTCTGGGCTACAAAGCAAAAACAAGTGAGAGGCTGCAGTTCTGTGATGGGATCATGGTTATCCGCTTGTTTTAGGATCCAAAGAATTGCCTTAGACGATTTGTGCTTTAAAGTGTGAGACAATGTAGAGAGAGAGGATCTTTTCTGCACTGCTGGTGGGAATGCAAACTGGTGCAGCCACTCTGGAAAACAGTCTGGAGATTCCTCAAAAAGTTAAAAATAGAACTACCCTACGACCCAGCAATTGCAGTACTAGGTATTTATCTAAAGGATACAGGTGTGCTGTTTTGAAGGGGCACGTGCATCCCAAAGTTTATAGCAGCACTATCGACAATAGCCAAAGTATGGAAAGAGTCCAAATGGCCATCAACAGATGAACGGTTAAAGAAGATGTGGTGTACACACACACACACACACACACACACACACACAGAGACACACAGACACACACACAAACACAACGGAGTATTACCCGGCAGTCAAAAAGAATGAAATCTTGCCATTTGCAACAACGTGGATGGAACTAGAGGGTGTTATGCTAAGTGAAATTAGTCAGGGAAAGAAAAATATCATGACTTCACTCTTATGTGGAATTTAAGATACAAAACAGATGAACACAAGGGAAGGGAAGCAAAAATAATATAAAAACAGGGAGGAGGACAAAACACAAGAGACTCTTAAATATACAGAACAAACTGAGGGTTGCTGGAGGGATTGTGGGTGAGGGGATGGGTTAAATAGTAAGGGGCATTGAGGAAGACACTTGTTGGGATGAGCACTGGGTGTTATACATACGGGATGAATCACTGGGTTCTACTCCTGAAATCATTATTGCACTATATGCTAACTTGGATGTAAATTTAAAAATAAATAAATTAATTCATTAATTAATTTTTAAAAAAGTGTGAGACAATGAAAGGGGTATTTTGGAAAAAAATTAACATAGCATGAAATGTATCAGATGTCAAGGTGACCATCAAGACACTATATGTCTCAGAACAAATGAGATAATGCAAAGTACCCAGCACAGTTCCTGGCACTCAATGAAAATGTTAGTTCTCTTCCCTTTGCATGTGGATTTTACTGTTTACAGCATGCTTTCGTACATATTAGCCCCCCACCCCAAACCTTAGTAATTTCCCTCAGAGAAGTAACTTGACCCCAAAAACAGTACTTCTGAAAAATGGCAGGGTTGAGAGTCAGACTCAGACCCCAAAGCCAGTTCTCTGCCCGGCACCCAAGACTCTTCTTACTGTGCTGTGTTAGACTGGAGATTGTGTAGGCCTGGATCAGAGTGCTACAATGAGATGGAATCAAAGAATGATCTTGAAGCTCCCGCATAGCTGAGCTTCCTGGGGACTTATTATTGTTTTTTTTTAATATCTTAATTTTATTTAAATCCAAGTTAGATAACAGTGTAATAATGGTTTCAGGAGTAGAATTTAGCAATTCATCACATACATATAACCCCCAGTGCTCTTTCTGAGGCCTTATTATTATACACCTTTATTTGTAAAACACAACAAAAAACCCAATACTTTATTTTACCTATTCCAAGATACATATACTGTCACCTTTTAACATCTCTGAAATTGAGACAATTCATGTTTTTCAGCTGTTTCCACCACTATGCACTTTCGATATCACTGCTATTGTCTGCTTATCTGCAAATTTAGTTGTTACTCCTGGTTGAATGATTGGACAACTAAAACCCAGGGACATTTCAGTCAGCCAACCACTTAAGCAACATTTGCACAAGAAATATGATCCTAGTTGTTGTCTGAAAAACTTCCACTGACACCTTTTTGTATATAGCTTATCAGGCACAAGAGCGCATCAACATCAAAATTTGCGGAATTGATGCCAGAAGGTTGGAAGAAAATCCTACCCCCAAATGGAGCCCTGTTTAAGGACTGCTGCATTGCCACTGCTTTTGATGGCACAGAAGGTAGCACTGTATTGAAAATACAGTATATTGGGGCACCTGGGTGGCTCAGTCAGTTAAGTGTCTGACTTTGGCTCAGGTTGTGTGTTCATGGGTTCGGGCCCTGTGTTGGGCTCTGCGCTGACAACTGGAGCCTGGAACCTGCTTCAGGCTGTGTGTGTGTGTCTCTCTCTGCCCTTCCCCTGCTCATGCTGTCTCTCTCTCTCTCAAAAATAAATAAAACATTTTAAAAAAAGAAAAATTCAGTATATCAATTATTCAGAGTTGAAAAGTTATTCGTTAGATATAAAGACATTTTGGGTTACCTTAACTGAATTGTTCCGTTTAATGCACAGCTTTTAAATATAACAAAAATCAATTTTACATACACCTAAATAAGCCCTTTAATAAGGACTGAGTGATAAGAAAGTATTGTGTAACAGATTAACTTGTATCATTAGTTTCTTAGTGGACTATAAAATAATGGTGTGCTCTACAATCTGTGGTGTCTCAGATTCAATGAGAATAGTCATATTACATTTGTGTGTTTCATGGTTTATATATTAACTCATTTTGGTCATCATAATAACCTTGTAATATTAGCAGCAAACTATTAGCCCCAATTCTATCCATGGAAAAATAAGGCAGATTAAATAACCTATTCAAACAGCCAGGATAAGGACTCATCCTTATTTAGTCCTCTAGAATAAGCCTAAAATCCTTTTTTCCCTCTAAAATTACAAGGCTGATATCAATCTTACTACTATATATATATATATATATATATATATAAAAAGGCAGCTCTGATGAAAATGAACATAGTAATTCAGGAAAAACATTGAATGTGCCTCCCTTTTGGCAAGGAAAGTGAATTGTCAGAGTTTTAACAATAATAAATCACTATTACAAACAGCCTACTACTCTGCCTAGCACATAAAAGTTGTTAAATAAATAATACATGTTGCATTACTCAGGATAGCTAGTGCTGGCTTAACCAACAAAACTTAATTCAGCTAATGCTGAATCTTCTGTGGCTTAACCAACAAAACTTTGTCTCGTGCAGGTCACAGATGTAGCACAAGTTGGCAGGCAGTGAAAGCTGTGTGTCACTCTATTCCACACCTTTACGCAGTAGCCAACATGACTCACATTCTACCATCTTCTAGCTGCACCAAGTGGAACGTGTAACCTCCAAGATTGCTGTGACGGGGTAAAAAGGGTTAGGAAAGGCACATGGGCTTATAACTTGTCTGGTCTGAAAGTGACGCCCAAAAGGGATACAAATCACTTCTTTCACAGGCCATTAGGCAGAAGTGATCACAGGACCCTAACCTACCTGAAGCGAGCTGAGAAAAGCAAAGCAGCAATAGAATATTTGGTGAGTACTATCTATACCACAGTAGTCCTATTTCTTGAGGGCAGGAATCTTTTATTTACTGGTATTCCCAAATATCTAGAATTGTGTCTGGCCTACAGTGTTCACTAGCAATTATTAAATGAATAAATGAATGAATTAATAAATGGCATCTGAAGCTGCTTTTCCTCATTTTAACTACGAATCTGCAGTTTCCAGGTAGAATTAGATATGCAAGTTCAGGTTAATATTTCAGAAACATCTAGTGTTAAAAAGAAGAAGCCAGTTTGATAAGAAGTTATTTGAAGTTGGCACACTCATTCTTAAATGTAATTACAAATTACATGAAATCTTTTCTATGGGAGCTTAATGATTCTTTAAATTGACATAAATATGAGGAAATACAATACTCAACTCTAAAAGCCAGTTTGGGTTGTTGGTTTCATTTAACAAATGAACACAGACTGCAATCTTCCCAAAAATGATTGCTTAGGGAGTTGGGAACAATTTGCCAGGATAAGAATTTAGATTGTGGTGATACGAGAAGGCAAGCAGCAGTCAGGCATGGGGAAGGCACAATAAGTAGCTGTCCTTTTGGCTCTAATTCAACACCTGTTCTTAACATTACCCACATGATTAGGAAGGCACAGAAGGTTCAATATTTGGTTTTCACAAAGGAATCTCAAAACGATTATAAGATGTAATTCATCATTTATTCAGAGCACCTGGGTGGTTCAGTCGGCTGCGTGTCTGACTTTAGTTCAGGTCATGATCTCATGGTTTGTAGGTTCAAGCCCCACGTCAGGCTTTGCACTGACAGCAAGGAGCCTGCTTGGGATTCTCTCTCTCAAAAATAATCGGGATTCATGCTCTCTCAAAAAGAAACATTTTAGAAAAAGATGTAATTCATCATTTATTCAACTAATGTTTATTAAGCACCAAATACGTGCATGCAGAATGCTTGGTACAGGAGATTCCAGTGCAAAAGACAGATATGAGTCCTACCCCAATGGAACTTATGATCTAATAGAGAAGAGAGACACTGAACAACTATTAGAATAAGCATGACATAGGTTGCAAAAGGGGAAGTAACAGGTGTTATTGAGTGAACTGGGAAACTATT